CGCGAGAGTCACGGTTTTGCTTTCGCGAGAGTCACGGCCGTGCCTCTCGGAAACGGAAAAAAACACGTTTTCTGTTTTTTTTTCTTTCACGAGAGTCACGGTTTTGCTTCCACGAGAGGCACGGTTGTGCTTACGCGAAAGTCACGGTCGTGCCTCTCGGAAAGGGAAAAAAATACACGTTTTCTGTTTTTGTTCTTTCGCGAGAGTCACGGTTTTGCTTTCGTGAAAGGCACGGTTGTGCTTTCGCAAGAGTCACGGCCGTGCCTCTCGGAAACGAAAAAAAAAACACGTTTTCTGTTTTTTTTCCTTTCACGAGAGTTACGGTTTTGCTTCCACGAGAGGCACGGGCGTGCCTCTTTCAGAAAGGGGAAAAAACCGTGCTCCTGGTTCGGTTTTTTCGCCCAACTTTTCTTCCGGTTTTTTCGTGAAAAAAATGTTCATCAAAACCTATCAACATGGGATCTAGTTTTGAAGATCTCGACGCGAGGAATCCAATGGTGAAAACGGTTCGAGATTTGGACGCACGGTATAAGAGATAAAACGTTTTGAATAAATGGATCTATGAAAAAAGAGAAAACTTTCAGGTTGGGACAAGTGGCGCGCTGCATGTCGCAATCTAGCAAAGTGGAGTGTTCTTTGCAATGAGTACTCCTTAATTAGTGATTTCGGGTATTGACCCCTGTGGGGCGTCCTGCTGTGCTTTCTTCCTATGGCTGTTGTGTTCGTGTGGATGGAGGTACCCATGTTGGAGTTAGAGTGGATTTAAGATTGGCCGGCCGGGTTGATTGGGATTAAGATTGACCGACCAATCCTAACCATGCCAAATTTTGTACTTGGTAGTGGTTCTTCGGCACCGAGGCAACTCTGGTCGACTAGACTACATACTTTTCATATTCAAGTTTTGTCTTCTTCATCCTGTAGCTAACCCCAAATGGCCGATTCTCTCATGATGCATGTATGAACGGGGATCCCTAAATTGGTGCTTCGGTATCGAATTATTGATGCTTATAAATAGGTTTATAATATTCATCCATTGCTCAGAACAAAAAATATGTATAAATTTATGATACTACAATTTTGAAGGATGACTTTGTGACCAAATTCATACTACAAGAAATGACCGAAACGAGCTATTATCAACATGGTTGACGCTAGCAAGGATAGTGATGACGGGCGTGTATCGTGAACCGAGTTTTGCTGCATAATTGTTATGCATTGTAGCATGTCCGTGCTCCGGCATTTAAGAGATAAACAACTACTCTCCTGATACAGGCCTATAACTATTAATTTTCTCAAAAATTGTTTACCCGTTCATAGTATGCAAGAAATAATGATATGATTTCTATGCCTTGGATTTCTTTGCAACTGAATTGGGCCTTTGAGCGATTTAGTTTACTCAAATCAGTTCATGTTGTCAACTATTTAGATCATAACATGTGTATAGACTTCACTGATCAAGGTACCTCTATATCTCCTTCAGGGTCTCCTTCAGATGTGCGTCTCGGTCTCCTTCACGTGTTAAAGAAAGGCATTGAAGTTGACATCAGTTGGTATCTGAATTATTCAGTATTTTAGATAATATGATGGAATAGTGTGGCTCAAAATAAGGAACTGACAAGGAAAAGGGTTGCCTACAAGAAATAAAATGAGCTACAAAATAAGAAGAACAAATAAAAATGGCCAGTGGTATTTGAACTTCTAGAATTCTCTTCTGCTTTTTTTTTTTGAGGAACTGCTTTGCTTTGTGGATTATGTTTCCTGATGTATTTGTTTTTCTTCACATGGTCTTTGAATCCCCCATGTCTATTGAACATGCATTTTCTTTCGGCTAGCTTCAGTTCTCTAGCTAGGAGAAAGATGTAAGCTACTGGTGAATATCACAACTTCACGAGCACAAAAAGTTTGGACTATATTATTTTCAAATTTTCTTCACCTCCAAGTGAACTGTTCTACTTATGTCTTTTTGGACTGTTTTTATTTTCATTGTGCTGTGAACATTTCAAATTTTGATATGAACCCACTAGAGTATTACGTGCAGTCTGAGGTTGATGAGGATTGACTTCCCTTCTTTGTTTAGAGCTCTAATTATCTGATGATTTCATGGAAATATTTTTTTACTCGCTTCACAATAATTTATTGCCTTCTTATTGGTTATTGTAAAACAAAATTATGTTAGTACTAAAATTGTTCTTGCAAAGTTTTTGATTCAAGGTGCAGGTCTATTCTTTCTTGATCATCGTTTCTTTATGTTTTCATTGCGTGCCTTTCTGTTGGGGTCTTTTCCCTAACAGCTTCAAGCATGGATGGAGGCTAACAAAGACAGAGGTTGGTAAACCTGGTGGAATTTCCTGAAGAAAATCGGCTGAGTGCATGAAGGTCTGAATATCTACGACTATAAAAGTATATATGTTTTCATGTCCTT